ATTTATAGAGTAAATCTAACAAACTAACTACAATAAGAAGGATCTAGAATAGGCTAGAATGAGGTGTGTGCATGCTGTGAACATGAGCTGGAGTTGCTGGGAATTTCTGTTGATCCATGTGTTGGTACGCTGAGCTGGAGTAGAGAAGGATCTGGAAGGAAGAAGAGCTGCATGTGTTGTACGTGATCTGCTGGATTTGTGAACTTGCTGGTTGAAGGTGCAATTCCAACAAAACTTAATGGAAATATATTATTGAAGAATACTAAAAACACATAATAATGGTGGAAATGAAAAATTGTTTATTTGAACGGAAGCAAAGCACGATCCAATGCAATACACCTCTCGAGTTCTAGAAATGAAAATGTTAGGTTACAGAAGGGACAAGCCAAGAATTCTGCATCACAAGGCTTACACGATGTAGTTGCTGAATAGGGGTTCTCCCATAGACATGGAGACTCTTTTACCTAGTCAAATTAAAAAATGTAAAATTAAACTGCAATCTAAACAATAAGATGACAACATGGTAGAAAAAAAGATTAATTATTCGAGTAGTTACATTAGTGTAGATAAGAGTTATGGCATCCTTTTTGCACAAATATGGAGCATTCTGCATCAGGTGTAAGAGAGGAGAGCAAAATTGTTTCAACACACCATAGCTTATGAATGATGAACCACAAGTAACAGATATATGCAGGTATATTGATGCAGAAAACCTTTCTTCTTAATGCACTACAAACTACAATCCAATACCAGAAAGAATTCTAAGCTCTTCCTTTCGTAAATGGAGGAATAGGTAAATTCTTTTTCTTCTTCTATGTCCACTAATTCATATTTAGTTGAATTTTTTTTTTTTTTTGGCTTGGCTAGGTTGGATAGCACATCCATGCCTTTTTCTCTATGATACCAATTGAAGGAAAATGAATTGAAGTAAATCAAATTACAAGACACAAACAGAGAGACCAATGACCTCCTGGCCAGGTTCAACATGTTCCGAATTTGAAGAAGAATCTCATCTCATTGTCTACCATTGATTCAAATGGTTATGAGTTCTTTGGTGGAGGTTGAGTTTTTAAGGTTCGTAAGGGTGCCCAAGTTGTATTGGAGAGACAAAAAATGTCTCAATGATATACATCTTTCAGAGTCATGCAGAATCTAGAAGAGTCAATCAGCACAGATTCAGTATCGTGGTGGACATTCAGTTTGGTACAATACCTTTAGGAGTTCGTAAAAGGTTGGATTTGAATAATATTGCTCAGTAAAGCTCAGGAGATGTGGATAATGCCGCTTTGCCACAATCTCATGCGGTGCCATTATACTCAATTATTAGGGACAGACCCAGTGGAAAGGTATGTGGATGTTATTTTGTTGAGCTTGTTTTAAGTGGAGTAGAAGGTGTACAATATAGCAATGGGCTTTCTTTAAAAGCATTTGGGTTTGATTCTGTTTTGGGGTGTATTACAGCTCATTTTGGTAAATTATAAAATCATTATGTTTTTTGAGAATTTGAGATAATTTTACAAGAATAGTGCTTGAATTCATTGGAAGAGGTGGAATATTGTGTTTTGCTGGAGAAATTAATTTTTTATTATTGTTGAAGAAACTAGTTCATTCCTTGATGGAATTCATGTCAATGTGGAGATTGTTATAATTTGCGTATGACCCAAATTACTTGTTCAAGTATTGAAGAATACTAATTGAAGGGCACGTCAATGAAAATTCAAGTTTGGAAAGCTATTGGAGTCCTATGTTAAGTTGAAGTTCTTTTTTGGAAATCCATTGAGAGTTGAAAATTGGTATTGGACTTGAAGAGGAGTTCGGGATGGAGAAAATAATTTGGGAACAAAAAAAAAATATTTTTTTGGGGCAGAACGCTCGGCGGCGCATGGGCGCACCTTGCCTGTTCCGATTTTTCGTGTTTTTATCTCCTTTTTCATTTTGGACTTAGTTTTTTTGCATCATACTTCATCAACAATTCTACTAAGAGGGTTGGGCATCCCCTATATGTTCTCTATAAATATTAGGCCCTTTTATACAATTTTATAAGTGCGAGAAAATAAATTATTAGAATTATAAGATCCATTGTAATTTTCTCTATTCTCCATTATTTTTTAATCAATAAAATCTCTTAATTCCTCCGTCATATTTTTTGTCTTTATTATTCTTTTACTTGATCTAATACTTCATTATTTGCTATATAATTTCAACAATTCATTTCGGTGGTTGATTTCATCAAATAGTATTCAAAAAATACATAATTCGTATATTTTTAACATTACTAACAGCGATCCGGACATATATTAATATTTCTTCTAACAAGAGATATTTTGATAGTTTCATAACAAGTGGTATAAAAGATATTCAGGTATCTTGTTTGTTTCACAACAGTGGGGGTGCTCCATAACCAAATTCTCCTTCTTCCCCAATTCCTTTAACACCATCAATATTCTACTATTTCTTATATTCATCCAAAGATGCAATCCACAGATGGAGTGCTCAATTTTAAAACCCATTTTTTGCCACTCAAAAGTCCTGGAATTGACACGAGTGGATTTGGGATCCAAAATCTTCTTGTTTGCATGTAAAAATTGAACCTTTAGATGATGGGTGTGGTTTTCTATTGAATTGAGAAGAATAAGTGAAATTATTTGCTTGTATCCAAGAAGGTTTTCAATTCTGTCTTAAAAAACAGAGATAAAAGGAAGAGAAGAGGAAGTAGTAAACTAACTGGAATGAATTATGAAAGCAGAGGATTTGGGCGGTTTGAACCATTTTCTGTGTATAATGCATTTTAGGTTGATGGAGAATGTATTGTTAAAAATAAAAAAAATAAAAATTGGGTTGTATGCAATATTATTTTATTGAAAAATGTGTTTGAAAAAAAAAAGAAAAATATATTTTTTAAAAAATTGGGATTAAACATGCCTAGCCAACGAAAATATCTTTGGGCAAACTTGAAATGATAAATAATTTTATCAAAAACATACCAAACATAGCCCAAATATTTGGTAGGAATTAAATTTTAATTTGAGTCAAAATCAATAAATAATTTCAATTTTTTTTTTTTTGCTCATTTTCTTTTAAGATAAAGAAAATGAAAAAATAACAAGAGTACAAGGTGAATCTTCAAATACGAAATACTAAATTTCAGTAAATATTTTTTATTCTATGGTAGAAAAGAATAATAAATTTAAATCCGACGAGAAAAATCAATCAAAAAAGAATAACGGTATTCCAATAGATAGAGGAGAGAGAGAGAGCAAAAAATTATTAAGGCACCGTTTGGTAACCATTATTCTAGAAAAAAATGTATTCTTTATGACAAATCACATCTTTTTTGTGGTTGAAAATGAAGGAAAAGTTATTGATGTGATGGAAAATATTATTTTATTGATGAATGTGTGGTTGAAAATTAGTAGAAGAATAAGAATGAAAAAAGAATGGTTACCAAACGGTGCCTAAAATAGAGATTTGTCTCGTACTTGTCTTGAATATTGCCAACTTTGACATGATATTAGACATGGTACAACAAAAACTTAACATAAAGAGAAATTTATTACAAAATTATTTAAAACGTTTTGCGTGTGAGTGAAATTTGCAATCCAACCGACTTGGAACCAAACTGCACCATTTAACGAAATATACATTTTGAACCAAATATATATACTAAAACTCACGTTTCTGATATATTAGTCGGACGGGTGAAAATTATAATAAATAGACTTTGATTAACTAGCTCGATGGTACACCAAACTCGACCCTTCTAGCTTACGATCCACAACGCGCAAATAGGTCATTGGCAATTTATAGGATTGAGATCTTAAAAGTCCATACCTAATTAGTTTGTCGCGAAGGTGTGGAGTTGAAAATGCGTTTGTTGTTACATGTATATCAGGGTTTATATCCTGGTGTACATATTGCACAAGTGACAATTCATCATTGACGGGTGAAAAAACTATAGATCAAGGGTGTAAATCCTGATATACATGTGGCAAAACCCTTTTGAATGAATTATTCTATATATACATGAAGGTTTTACACCTTAGTGTACATAATGTTCAAGTGGTATTTTATCATTGACCGGTGGAAAAAACTAGGCATTATGCATACCACTAGAGAGGGTGTAAACCCTAACGTATATGTAGCAAAACCCAATTTCAATGTGGACTCGAATATTTTTCCTTCCTTTCTAACTACACATTTTCTTTTAAAACATTTACAAAATTCATACCGAACTGGAACTAAATTAATTTAGCATCATGCTTAAAAATCAGCAAAGTTACAAAAGCTCGAGGATAAAGACGAGATGAACCAACCCTCCTTAGTAATTCTTGGCGGTTTGTAGGTTTTCAAGGCCTGGCCAGCCAATGAGTCATCCCTCGCAATTAGATATATTCCAGAAATGTCTCTGATAATGAACTGCTTCACACTGGCCGAGCCAATGGCCCATGGCCTTTGTCCACTTGCAATTCATGCAGTAGCCAAGTGTCCCCACGCAGCAACCAGAAAACCCTTTGCAGCAAGCTAAGAAACTGATAAATTCAGCCACTTGTCTCAAAACATTATCAGTAACCACGGTACAGACCATCTTCTCCACTCTTTTTTCCTATACTGAGTCAATCAACCTAGATGGCCCCAAGCTTTAGTGGAACCAGCAACAACGTTGGCTCCTTTGTGGTCTTTCTTGAACGCTGGTCAGCTCGTCAACAGAACTTACTCGAGGAGTTACTAAGGACAGAAGAAACTTACCACGAGTGTCGTGATCAAGATGGAATCAGAGAACTTATTGATAAGGTTATCGCTCACTATCAAGAATACTTATCAGAAAACTCACGAATGGCTAATAGATGTACATTCCTTATGTTCTGGCCAACATGGTTCAGCCCACTGGAGAAAGCCCTCCTTTGGATTGCTGGGTTTAAACCCGGGTTAGTGATTCACCTCATGACAAGCTCAGTGAGTGATTTATCAGAGAATGAACGACAAAGAATTGAACATTTGAAGCATGAGACAAAAATGGAAGAGAAATTATTGGTAGACGAATTGGCGAGTATTCATGAAAGTGTGGCAGCTCCTCCACTGGCGGGGCTAGCAAGGGAGGAAGGAAGAAGACTGCTGATGAACGGAGAAATAAGAGAAACTCCCGATTCAGAACTGGAAAATTTGAGATCAGCCATGCAGAGTTTGCTGATTCGTGCAGATCTATTGAGGGCTAGAACAGTTCAAGTGGTGGTGGAAACACTAAGTCCTCTCCAAAATGTGAGATTCTTTGCAGCGATGATTCAGTTCCAGCTAAGAATTCGGATGCTGGGAAGGCAGAGAGAGGCTGAGCAGCCTCGGCGTGAAGAAGTAAATGGCTGGTAGATTTTCACGTATAAAAAACAGAAAATCTTGTAGCGTTGTCGGCTCCACAAAGTGCTAGACTGATACTCTTTTAATGTGCTAATTAATATTTGCAGTTTATGTAGTATGTGTTTGGCTTAGTAATTTTATTTAACTTAAACGATTAAACCACCTTAAGATTGTTGAGAAATAGTAACGCTGTTGTTTTAATCACAATTAAGTAAACGAATAAATAATTTCTAACAAAATTAAATAGATTTTAATCAAAATCACGTATAAAACAATATCTTCATTCGATGGAAGACAGTGGTAAGCCTCTTTCTTCAAGTCGAAGTTACCAATGAAATAAAGCTCAATTTACAGAGGAGAAATGTAGATGTTTATTTAATTTATTCCAGCTAGCCTAACAAATTAATCACAAATGTAAAATGCACTTCCAACTTTGAAGAATTGATAAAGAAGATGTCATGGTTTAAGTTATGGACTTATGGGACTTGGATGTCACATCTAAATTATGAGCTTCTGTTGTGTGATTTACATGGATTTGAGGCTCTCCAACTTCAAGAGTTAACTTTAAGTTATAGTTTGATCTATAACACTGATATCAGAGTATGTACCACATCCCCTACTCCAATCGAACTATGCGAATAGTGATGCCACCATAGCAATGTTCGTCCAGAAAACAAGTCCGGCTTGGGCACGGGATCACGGAGCGTTGTGGCTTGTCACGGTTCCCATTATAAGAAAAAACACAACGGATCAGGGACCGATTGGGGTGGGGGGCGGGGGGCTGGGCTACAGCCCCCTCCCTCCCCCAACTGATTTTTTTTTTTTTAAAGTATGAAAAAAAAAAATTATATAAAAAAAATGATGTGTAATTTATTTTTTTTTACGTATTAATTCGACCTGTAATTCGATCCGTTCTTGCCACTCATTGACTCCAAAATCCAACACAGCCCTCCCATATTTGGTCTCTTATCGAGATTCGATGAATATCTCTGATCATGGATTGCTTCTCGCGTGATAATGGCCTTTCCTTGTCTTCACGCAATTAAAGCAGCCAAGTTTCTACTTTCTAGCTTCTACTAGCAATCCTGCAGCCAAGTGTCTCACCATCCATGCAGCAAAGTTTCTAGTTTATACTAGCAAACCAGGCAGCCAAGTGGAATTACAATCCACATGCACGCAGCCAAGTGTCTACTTGCAATCCCTGCAGCAAAGATGTTCAGTAAATATATTTTTTTTAATATACTTGGGTCACTCTGTATATGCACGCGAGTTTGACTAAAGGTGAAGCAGGCTTCTGGGCAGCAAGCTTGCCATTCTCGGGAGATTGGGGAGAACACAAGTCAAACACGTGTGACGGATCGCAAGGTGATGTTTTGAAATCTAGCATGACACGAAGATGTCATGGCACGAAGTGGGAGAATGAAGTAAACATATTGTTAATTAGGTCTAAACTTTAAAAGTACATAGCGATGCCAGTGTTACCTAATTTGGTGGGGAGATGACTAGTGTCCATGGTGGCAGGTTCATGTCAAGATCGTGTTTAGGTGAAGGCTGAGAAATTTGGGTGAGCGTACAGGCACTGCGACACAAACAGCAACACAGACGGACATCGCAGGCAGATTGCAGGCAGCACCCAAGACGCAGTCAGAACATGGCCACACATATACTGCAGTCATGGCAAGACACAGGCAACACAGCAACACAGACTGCGGACTGCATGACTTAGGCAGTGACATGGACAGTTTTCCCAGCACACCCGGTGGTTTTCTAAAGAGAAATAATATGGGCTGAGTGTTGGATATTTTGGGATGTCTTGTACAAGTTGACTACTAAAGTCACTTGCACGATCAAGGCTAAAGAAGGAAGCAAAAGCCAATTTTGCCACTATGAAAGAAACATGTCTAGTATGGGATTTTTGTAGATACGTGTCACTTGCATGAAGTAAAGTCCAACTTTGCTTTCTTTGGTCTTAGGAGGTTTAAAGGCAATTTGCAAGCAATGAGTGTCCTTGGATGAGAATTGATCTTGATCATTAAATCCAAGGCACTTGCATGTGATTTTGTCTATAAATAGATATAGAGTCTCATTGTAATTTATTAGATTGAAGTTGAGTTATTTTAATACAAAGAGAGATTTTCTCTCAATATTACTTGTCTTCTATATTACTTCAAATACTCTACTCAAAATTCTAGTAATTAGCCTACTTCGTTAAAATATTTGTAGGCGTGAGAAAGGCTGACTTAACTTTTTTGGAAGAAAATTGTTTGCGTTAAGACCGCAAAGTGTATTGATATTCTAGTGTTGACACATGGTAACCTTAACTGATGTAGCCAACTATGTTAAATCGTTGAGTAGCTAGCGAAAGGAGTATTTACGAGATATAAGAATTCATTAGAAGGTGATAAAATGGATAGAAAAAAGCACGTTGATCTGAAGAGACTATCCTCTGAATGTGGCTTGGGATGGAATTTTCATGTCAAGGCACTTACAGGTGAGCAGAATTAGTTATTCGTGAATATAACGGATGCATTATGGCTATATACAATCAGATTTTGAGGTGCGATGTGATCCTCAACCCCGCCCAACGTACCTTCACGTGTCAAGCTGCCCGCCAGGCCTCGGTGGACTAGCAGATATCAAATATGAATGCACTTCATTAGAATGAAACTGACCCTTGATCCAAAAATTTTGCCTGTTTGATGTCATTATTTTTAAAATACATTTTTTTATTTTTACTTTTGAATTACACATTTTTCAATAAAATAATATCATACACAAATTTAAATTTTTTTTTTTATTTTTAATTATACATTTTACATCAATCTATTATTTCAAAATACATTTTTAGAATAAAACGGGGAACACAAACATGCTCCAAACTTCAAAACTTTCTGCTAAATTCAAAAATTAACCATATCACTGGGTACACATCATAATATTTCCAATTTACCCTCTAATTTACTTCAACAACACTGTGACGTAGGAATATGGAAAATGATGAAAGTACTGGGAAGTTTATAAAGAAATTTGAATTCTCAGTCATATGGTGCGGGCTCCATGTATTAAATATTGGAAAAAAAAATGTTGCTCCCACCTTTGGCTGTGTCGGTTCTATACCTATAGCATGGTTGTGGAATATAAACGAGTCGAGTTGAGCATACTCTCTAGCGATTGTTGCCCGAGCTCGACTCGAGCCTTTCCAATCCGAGCTAGCTTGTTCTTTTCTTGAAATTCTATTTTTTGAAAAAAAAATTTAATGGCAGCTTTTCAGAAGCAGTTTTTTGTTGCCTTTAAAAAAGCATCCATAGCTTCCTTTACAAGCAAGTAGTGTTCTAAAAAAACTCATTTAGGTGGTGCCTAGGATCGAAGTTCGAGCAATACGCCTCACTTCGGGTTTAAACACTTTTTTTTCAATTCCTAATTGGTTAGATTTTTTCCTTCCACTCTTTCGTCTTCCCTGTGCGCTCTTTTTAATTTTTCTTCTTTTTTTTTTAGTTTTTTATTTGATTTTAGTTTATTAATTTTTTATATTTTTAAAAACCTTTTATTTGACTTTAATTTCTAGTTTTTGAAAAACTTTATATGTAGAAAAGTTACAAATGATTTTATCCAATAAAAGAGTTAAATAAGACTTAATGTGTGGTATTATCAACATTATTAACTATGATTTGGATTTTGGAGACTCATTATTTTGTTGAAAATTCTGAAAACATATCTATAGAGTTCCTTTAAATTTATTAAATATAAGTTGTCTAGTTGAAAATTGAAAGTCTAAAAAATAATTTAACTTTATATTTTAAAAACTTGAAAATTTTATAATTGACTAATTATAAAAATTATTAAATAAATATAATATATTATAATTTTATATAATATGATGCTAGAGGTACATCACCTCTTACATCTGGGTGTCCATAATGGACACCCGACGCCTCCTCATTGGAGGGAGGGTCACACTTTTGTGTAAGTGGTGATGTACCACTAGAATAATCATTTTATATATTTGGTATTTTTATTTTAATTATTAAATAATTTTTTAATGATTAAAATTTTCAAATAATATTAAAAATAAGAAAACGATTTTTTACGTCTAAGTCTCGACTCAAGCAACTCATAAATCTTAAAACTTTGCCTTCACATTTAGCCACACTTCATATTTTTTAGAACACTACAAGCAAGTAGCTGTTTTATTTTCAAGATATTGGCCACACTGAAAATGAGGCTCGACCCGAGCCACTCAAGCTTTTATCAGATCAAGCCACGAGCTACTCGAGCCTCATAATCGTAAAAAAAAATGGGATTTTTAATTATGAGGCTAGAAAAAAAAATTGGGATAGGATCCTGTTGACACACAAAAAGTGCAGCCCAAGTAGAAGGCCCAAAGAGCGAAGCAGTCCATCTAAAAGGCCCAAAAGAGGAAGGCCCAATCAAGGTCCCAGTATCTGAAGAGCGGAGTCCAATTGAAGGTCCAGTACGAGAGCCTGAATAAAAGTGTGGGCAAGTGACATAAAAGCCCACAAAGCAAAAGCCCAATGCTATCGCCCAAGCCTGCAGAACGCCCAGAGACTGAGCGAGTAAAAGACCCTGCAGTCGCCCAAAGGTATAAATCCGTCATCGCCCAAACGGTTTAAGTTACCCAAAGGCCCCAGTGGAAATAACGTCATGTCATCATCCAAGGCAACGGTTTCAAGCGGTTTAAGTACATTAATGCTACATCCACGATCTAAGAACCTCAAGAATATGGAGTCGTGCGATGATAAGTTATGAACGGCAGTTTTAACACATTGGCCATGATGAAGAAAATGGGTGGTTTCAAGCAGTTCTTAAGCAGTTGAAGACTGTCTAAGCAGTATAAAAGAAAGAAGAAGATAATGAGATAAGTCTCGACAAAATTGACTCTCAAATAGAGAATATGTAATTTCCTTTTATTAGATTTAGTTTTAACTAACTTCAATTCCCCTGTACTTGTGTGCTTGCGCCTCTTGGAGGCATCTTGTCCACGTTCAAGCTTGTAATCTTCATATTCAATAAACACCACTTTTTGGAACTTTGTTCCAAGAGGTTTATCCCTTACACAATCGTCTGATCCTCTTTTAATTGTTAACGAGCGAACCCGCGCGAAACAGATCCTACAGGATCAACATTAGTCGATTTGAACCTCACTTAATTTCACTCAAAGTTCGTCGTGGTCAGGATAAATCACCCAGGTTTGGATCCATATTCACTTGTTTCACCCAAACTTCATCCTGGTCATGAATAAATCGCCCATGTTTGAATCCATAAGCATTGGCAATTGCCCTGCCAAGACTCAAGTTTGCTAGAACTCCAATGGATTTCCTTAACCAATCGACATCCCTAACGTGACAAACTTTTGCACCCACTATATCTGCCTCCGGACTCGTAACTAGCCACTAAACCCAAATTTAACTAGAATAATTCACATCCTAATGTTTCCAAATGACCCTCTAATTTCAATAATGCAAAACCTTTACACCCACTATCTCTACCTCCATCATCACTTACCTTCTATGCACGCGAGCAAAGCAACTCGACAAACAGTTTCAACATGTATCATTTCGAAGCATTGATCACTGAAAGCAAAGACAGAAATGACCACCAATTATTCCTAGATGCCTAGTTAAATTTGATTAATGGCCAGAGAGAGTAAGAAAAAGAAGTAATAGAAGATAGATCAGAGTACAATCTCAATATAAAAAATGGAAACAGAATTTTCATTAATTGAAGAACAGATTTAAGGATACAAGCTAGATCAAAGTACAATAATTTAAACTTAACACAACACACTTCACCCAACAAAATCCCCCATTTATACAAAGCTTCAACACCACAACCCTAACCAAAGCAATTTAACCGCCAAAACCATATAAGGTCCTCCCCTGCCTCTTGAGGGCGTACACAACGTCCATGGCCGTCACAGTTTTCCGGCGAGCGTGCTCAGTGTATGTGACAGCATCACGGATAACGTTCTCAAGGAAGATCTTGAGGACGCCACGTGTCTCCTCGTAGATAAGCCCGCTGATACGCTTGACTCCACCACGGCGAGCCAATCGACGAATCGCCGGCTTTGTGATGCCCTGAATGTTATCCCTCAGCACTTTGCGGTGGCGCTTGGCACCGCCCTTTCCCAAACCCTTGCCGCCTTTTCCTCTTCCTGACATTTTTTTTTCCCTGAGACTGAAATCTGATTTTTCAACGGATTTGATTTTTTGATGTGGGAGTGAAAATGGTGGGATTTGGAAGGCTATATATTTGGAAAGTCTAGAGGAAAAGAATACTTGAAAGCCGTTTGATCTTGGGTGTTTATCGACGGTGTATAATGGTGATCCGCATCTATGTGTTTATGTATTATCAGCCATTGATAAGAACGGAATCGACGGTAAAAACTATACTTTGTCTGGATGACGGATAGTGGCTAAAGACACTTTGAAAATTGTAAGGGTTTAAAAAAGATTTTGTCTATTAAGTAGATAAAAATAAGTTATGGATGGCTATTTAGGCCCTATTTGGGAGGGATTCTCAAAATTTTACAGTAAATTAATTCTCATTTTCAACCACACATTTTTCAATAAAATAATATTTTCCATCACATCAATAATTTTTTCTTCTTTTTCAACCACACATTTTGTTGGAATTTTGTATTGGAAATTCGTAGATAAGCCCGCTGATACGCTTCACTCCACCACGGCGAGCCAATCGACGAATCGCCGGCTTTGTGATGCCCTGAATGTTATCCCTCAGCACTTTGCGGTGGCGCTTGGCACCGCCCTTTCCCAAACCCTTGCCGCCTTTTCCTCTTCCTGACATTTTTTTCCCCTGAGAGTGAAATCTGATTTTTCAACGGATTTGATTTTTTGATGTGGGAGTGAAAATGGTGTGATTTGGAAGGCTATATATTTGGAAAGTCTAGAGGAAAAGAATACTTGAAAGCCGTTTGATCTTGGGTTTTCATCGACGGTGTATAATGGTGATCCGCATCTATGTGTGTATGTATTATCAGCCATTGATAAGAACGGAGTTGACGGTAAAAACTATACTTTGTCTGGATGACGGATAGTGGCTAAAGACACTTTGAAAATTGTAAGGGTTTAAAAAAGATTTTGTCTATTAAGTAGATAAAAATAAGTTATGGATGGATATTTAGGGCCTGTTTGGGAGGGATTCTCAAAATTTTATAGTANTTCAATTACACATTTTTCATTAAAATAATATTTTTCATCACATCAATAATATTTTCTTCTTTTTCAACCACGCATTTCCTATCATATCACTATTCAAAATCAATTCTTCCCCCAAAAATCCCTCTCAAACAAGCACTTAGTATTTGTGGGGCTCATGATTTTTCATGTTACACTATTTCAACGGGTTTATCAGCATCAATTTTTGAACCTTGCCCTTGGAGTTGCAGTATTAAATAACTAAGAGTCAAGACAGTAGACTCCATGTAAATCTTGAAGCACATCTTCTTTATTGCTTCAATGTTATCATCTTCTTGAAGATCTCAACTTGCGCGTATTCGTGCAACATCGTTTAGCTCGAATATGTTGATCCGACAGGATTTGCACTTCGACAACAAACTCAAGTCAAACAGGATTATACGTTGAGTTTATGCAAGCAAAAAAAATATCATTTCACTCTAAATTAAATAACAATTGCATTTTTATTCTCAAATGGATGACTTAACTCACATTAATCGAAGTTATAAAAAAATCAGCGTATTTAGATATAACGAAATATTACAACAAATGAGATAGATGATGATAATAATAATAATAATAATAATAATAATAATATATGACTCTAATTGAAGAAAAATATGACTTCTACCCTGTGACGTTTTCCAATATACTAGTCAACTTTGATACATGTGTTTGGGATGTATTTGTTTTGGAAAAAGAAAAATCCCACAAAATTTGTAGAGGGAAAATTAAAAAAAAAAAAAGAGCTCAAAAAACGAATCACGCCTTTTCTTTCTAAATCTCACTTCTTGATAGATAGCTTCTTCGGTCTCTATTTCATACTGAAGAAGTTTTTGATTAGACGATACTATATTCACCCATGATAGAATTGTTCATTCAATTAATGGCATGTGATCATTTGCTTCATAGTCAGTTTCTATTATATTTCTATCTCATATTTATTTTTTAAATCACCCACTCAATTGATGAATAAAAAATTATTTTTACTTTGTTTTGCTCTTACTTTTAAAGTTTTAATTAAATTTAGTTTTGAATCTTTTATCTCTTTCTTGCTTTTTATTTGAGAGTTATAAAACTCATATGAACTTCAAACCAAAATTCGAAAACATAATTTCACAATAATTTAATCTTAGTGCAAGGAAAATTACTTTAGACTTATTTATTTCACTCTTATAAAATTCAATATTGTGAAGGAAAATATTGATATTTTGATATTCTTCAATCCCAATCATTGAAAGATATAGAATAGGTAGGCAACATTAGCTATAAGATAGTTAAGCGGTTCCTTACATACTTTGTGAGAAATACGAGATTCGACCCTACTACATTTAGAGGGGGGTGATTAGGTGTAAATGCGGAATTATCAATCTAATTAAGTAGCAGCATGTCACAAATTAATTATGTCTAACTGATTAGTCAAACAATTCAATTTAGTATATCTTTGAATACCACAGTTATATCACAACAATAAATAAAGCAGTAAACAACACAAAAATTGTTAACAGAGAAACCCAATGTGGGAAAAATTTCGGGCGCTTTGCCAGTCAAAGATCCACTATAAACTGACAATACATTTACAGACTACCAGCAAAGTTGACAACACAAGCTTTCCGATCTTCTGTCTAAAGTAAGAAGCAGTCCTCCTGAAATGTGCACACGAACACCAAACTTGGCTCTTATTTGTAAAACAGTCATCCTGGAATGAGTACACGAACTTCAATCCTAACTCTTTACGCAATTTATCTCTTGTAGATCTTCTCAAAGAACTCCTCGTTCTTCAAATTCTTCCTTGATCTTTAATGTAGTACAGTTGACGACACAATCTTGTAGCAAATCCAAACGAAAAAACCAATTCAGTATTTGATTTGATTGCTTTGATATTTTCAATGAAAATACTCATGAATAATGAAAGATTGAACCCTGGATCTTGTGTAGGATGTACTCTTCTTGAATAATATGTTGTTCAATTCGTCTCTCATAAAATATGGCGCATTCAATATATAGATTGGGCGAATTAGGTTGTATGGACCGACTAAAAATCTCGGAAAAGGAAAATTAGGTTTTCCAGTTAAATATACCGATCGAGCGAAGAGGCATTCTCGCTCGAGCGAAGGGTCTGTCGCTCGAGCGATAGTGGGGTGAAAATCGAGTGAAGTAGGTTCCGCTTCAATCGCTCGAGCAACACTCCAACGAGCAGCTAGTGAAAATCCAGAGTGAATTTTTCTTGTTCCAAACATATAACCCCAAACCCTAATCCTAATCTACCAACTTTGAAACTTTACAATTTAGTCCCTGAACTTTTATAACTGTTCAAATTGGTCAATTTGTTCACAAAATTGCTAATACAAAATATAAACCTAACACTTTGTTATATAGCAAAAAGTACATTAGAGACTAGTTGTTACACAAAAATTACACTACATATTAAAGACTTCAAAAACTCTCTGTAAATAAATATATCATAGTAATGACTTCGAAATAGTCAATATAGTAATAGGCTCCCAAAAAGTGTGGAAGCCTGAGAATTCTGAATATATCATCCATGTATGAACTTCCTTGATATACATGCAATATTGTCCGTCTTCTGAAATCCTCCATTCCCCCATGGGCAAAGTCAATATACTCAATGGTGATCATCTACAAAAAGAATAATAGTAATAATAATATGAATACACTTATTCAGTAAGTAATCTATATCATAAATGTCTTTCTTTCCAAAATAAATAAGGAAGATAATGGGCCCCAATTATAGATGTTCAATTCTACCCATGCACGCAAATTGAGAATAACACAATATGAGCTCATTAGTCAATTACCCCAATTTAGTGTATAATCAATAATATTATCCAATGCAATGTCAATTGGTAGAATCTTGAATCTATAATCAATTTTTTTTTTTTTTAAGTAAGGAGTAATTCAATGAACATAATTGTAATAAATTTGTTTGGAATAAAAATAGGCATAGATTACTCACCTTCGAGTTGTAAAATAATAAAAGTACTTTCTTTACTTGTCTTTAGTTTTCAAATTGTTGTATGTTTCATTTTTCTCTCATTCTCTTCTATTTATAGTAGTGATTGAGAATTAAAAAAATTATTAAATTAATTTTCCCTAATTATTACTTTGCCACATTTTACCTTATTAGGCCATTTGTCATTACAATTAATTTTCCCTAATTATTACTTTGCCACATTTTACCCTAATAAGCCATTTGTTATTACAATTAATTTTTCCTAATTATTATTTTGCCACATTTTACCCTAATAGGCCATTTGTCATTATAATAATTAGTGTGACAAGGTAGTATCTATAGAGTAGCCATCTCATTCCCCTTAATTTCTTCACATGATTATTCATTTTTAATTAATCAAAGTCTTAATTAAATTCTTTTTATAAGGTTATATTATCATTAACACAACTTTTACTAGGCTACATGAAAGGTATATCACAATAAAAACATGGTAAA